CTGCTTGTAGTTCTCGAGCTCGATTTTTTGTACGAGGGGATCTGCTGCCATGGGGGCGTTCGACGGCACAACTAATCCGCATTCGCAAGAAGGGCTAATCCGTACTCGCCTTTTTTCCAGGACGCTCCATCCGCCAATATTATATGGAGGAGCTTTCCGACCTGATCATGATGGCACCGCCTGGGGCGTATCCGATAGTGGGCGTGGACGCGCAGACGGCCCTGCCCCCCCCGCAGGCGGACGAGGAGCGCTGGATTGGGGACTTTCCAGTCGGTCAGCGCACACGTCGTGCCGAGATTTTGTCGAGGCTTCTGATGCAGCGCGACCTGGCGGCGACGAACGCGTTCACAGCGGCGGCCAGCGGACCCACCTGCCACTGCGACTTCAAACGCCCGCCAGCCCAGATCGACTTGAGCAGGCCGAGTGATTTTCCTCTTGAGGCCCGGATGACAAATGCGAGATGTCGTTGGCTTTAGCGGATGCGGACGCAGCGATCAGATCGCGTTCGCGTCGAGGTGGGGTGCGGCATATGTTAAGGGGGGATGCGGGAGTGGGCCAGGCCCGCTGTGGCGCTCGAGCGCCCACGTGTTATGGAGGCTGCGGGAGTTGGCCGGGGCAGCTGTGGCGCTCGATCAACGACATGTTATGGGATGGGTTCGGAGAGGTGGCCAGGCCCGCTGTGGCGCTCGAACTCCCGACTTGGGCACCGCGGTCGTTTTCCCTCCTCCTCCCTCCTCCCTCATGCGCCTCTTCCGGACTTCGTTTGCCCTCCTCCTCTTTCTCGTCTCTCCTTTTCTTCCTCGTCGTCGTCCTCTCCCTCCTGTCCGTCCTTCCTCCCTCATCTTCCTCTTCGCCCGTCCCTGGTTTGTGCTTCCTTACCCGTCCCCGTGTGTTGTGTCTCTCGGTAGGGAAACCTCTCCCCCGTAAAATCGTAGCTTGGGCTGCAGGTCCAAGGCTCCGTGGATCCATTTCCCCTTGGGTCCCTTTGTGTTAATCATTTGTATACTCTTATTCCAGCAGAAGAATTGGATCCACGAAACTTCCACGCCAAAAAATTGGATCCAGTAGATACGGAAATTGGATCCACGTGACTGTCGCACACACGTAATTGGATCCAAATAGATCCATGCGTTCCCATGCAAGAGGAACAAACTTTCGGCCTGGGGATGAGTTTTGCGCCCCTTCTGTCTTTCAGCACAGGGGCGGTGGTGGCACGTGTTGGCTGGGGAGAGGGGGATCAAAACCCCACTGAAGAGTTTTGCGCCCCTTCCGCCCTTCAGCACAAGGGGCGGTGGTGGCACGTGTTGGTGGGGGAGACGGGGGTCAAAACCCCACTGAAGAGCTTTGCGCCCTTTCTGCCCTTCAGCACAGGGGGCGGTGGTGGCACGTGTTGGCGGGGCAGACGGGGGTCAACACCCCACTGAAGAGTTTTGCACACCTTTTGCCCTTCAGCACAGGAGCGGTGGTGGCACGTGTTGGCGGGGGAAACGGGGGTCAAAACCCCACTGAAGAGCTTTGCGCCCCTTCCGCCCTTCAGTACAAGGGGCGGTGGTGGCACGTGTTGGTGGGGGGGACGGGGGTCAAAACCCCACTGAAGAGTTTTGCGCCCTTTCTGCCCTTCAGCGCAGGGGCGGTGGTGGCACGTGTTGGCGGGGGAGACGAGGGTCAAAACCCCACTTGAGCAGGCCGACGGATTTTCCTCTTGAGGCCCAGATGACAAATGCCAAATGTTGTTGGCTTTAGCGGATGCGGGCGCAGCGATCAGATCGCGCTCGCGTCGAGGTGGGGTGCGGCATATGTTATGGGAGGCTGCGGGAGTTGGCCAGGCCCGCTGTGGCGCTCGAGCACCCACGTGTTATGGAGGCTGCGGGAGTTGGCCGGGGCAGCTGTGGCGCTCGATCAACGACATGTTATGGGATGGGTTCGGAGAGGTGGCCAGGCCCGCTGTGGCGCTCGAGCTCCCGACTTGGGCACCGCGGTCGTGTTCCCTCCTCCTCCCTCCTCCCTCATGCGCCTCTTCCGGACTCTTCGTTTGCCCTCTCTTTCTCGTCTCTCCTTTTCTTCCTCGTCGTCGTCCTCTCCCTCCCGTCCGTCCTTCTCCCTCATCTTCCTCTTCGCCCGTCCCTGGTTTGTGCTTCCCTACCCGTCCCCGTGTGTTGTGTCTCTCGGTAGGGAAACCTCTCCCCCGTAGAATCATAGCTTGGGCTGCAGGTCCAAGGCTCCGTGGATCCATTTCCCCTTGGGTCCCTTTGTATTAATTATTCAATCGCTTCGCTCACTCTGCCGGCCCGTATTGCATGATCGCTATTGCTTCGGCGCGGGCTCGGGGCCATTTCGGCGCCGCCGGAAGGAGGAAGATGAGGATGGGGAGGGGGAGGGGAGGAGGAGAAGAGGATGAGAAGGAACGGGGGATGAAGATAAATATGAGGAGGAGGAGGAAGAGAAAAGGGCGGAGGAGGAAGCCTCTCGATGGCATCTTGCGGCGCTCTTGGGGCCAAACAGGGCCGTCGTCCAGATGCTTCTTTGGGAGGCCCTGGGGTCTGTTGAGAGGCCGTTCGGGGGCGCGTGGGAGACATTTTTGAAGCCTTGTAGGGCCTCTTTTGAGCCTCCTTGGAGCCTCCTGGGGTCTCTTGGGGGCCTCTTTGCGGCATCTTGGGCCATCTTGGAGGCCTCTCGGGGCCTCCTGGGGCCCTCTTGGGGCGGAAGGTTTGAGGTTTCGGTTCGTGGTCCCCATCTTGGGCCCCTCTTGGGGCCGTCTTGGGGCTCTCTTGGGCCGTCTTGGGCGTCTCTTGGGCCGTCTCGGGGCCCGTCTGGGCTCTCTGGGGGCATTCTTGGGGGCCTCTTGAGCCGTCTTCGTGCGCTCTTGGGGGCCTCTTGGGCCGTCTTGAAGCATCGGGAAGCCGAAAATGCGACAAGGCCAAAATCCTTCCAACACCATAGTAAAATTTATGATTTTGGCCTCTCGGGGCGCTCTTGTGAGGCCTCTTGGAGGCCACTTGGAGCGTCTTGGCGGCTTCTTGGGCCGTCTTGGGATCATCTTCGGCGTCTTGGAGCGTCCTTTGGGCGTCTCGGGGGCCTCTTGGGGCCCTCTTGGCGCGCTCTGGGAGGCCTGAGAGGTCGTATCCAGGAGGAAAACCATCTCTGAGTAGACCTTCCCGGGCTGCGGTCGGGGTACTTATCGCCGGGGGACCCCCAGGGGCCGCCCCGCGCGCGCGAACTAGAAATATTGTTAAGTAGTTGCTGGAGATCTTAGCACGCTTCTGGCCCGTTGGGCCGGCGAATTAGTACACATTGATTCCAGCAAAAGAATTGGATCCACGAAGCTACCACGCCAAAACATTGGATCCAGAAGACACGGAAATTGGATCCACGTGACTGTCGCACACACGTAATTGGATCCAAAAGGGTCCATGCGTTCCCATGCAAGAGGAACAAACTTTCGGCCTGGGGATGAAGAGTTTTGCACCCCTTCTGCCCTTCAGCGCAGGGGCGGTGGTGGCACGTGTCGGCGGGGGAGACGGGGGTCAAAACCCCACTGAAGAGTTTTGCACCCCTTCTGCCCTTCAGCACGGGGGCGGTGGTGGCACGTGTTGGCATGGGAGACGGGGGTCAAAACCCCACTGAAGAGTTTTGCGCCCCTTCTGCCCTTCAGCACAGGGGCGGTGGTGGCACGTGTTGGCGGGGGAGACAGGGTTCAAAACCCACTGAAGAGCTTTGCGCCCCTTCCGCCCTTCAGCACAGGGGCTGTGGTGGCATGTGTTGGCGGGGGAGACATGGTCAAAACCCCACTTGGGCAGGCCGAAAGATTTTAGTACACACGCGTAATTGTATCCAAATGGAGCCATGTGTTCCCATGCAAAACGACAATATTTTCGGCCTGGGGATGTATGTCCAGACTCCTGCTCGCGACATCTGGAAGGTCAACATCGCGTTCGAGGATATCACCGATAGCGCGCAATCCGACCACTCAGCCATCGAGCTGGAGTTCACCTTCGGCGCCAGGAGGCGATACGTCTGGAACGGAGGTCGCGCGCCTCTGAAGGGCTGGCCCTGCCTCGACGACCGCTTCCAGCGCTGGAGCCGCAGCGCCTGCTACGCCGACCGCAACCCAGCGCCAATTACTTCCATGACGGACGCGGTGCACCTGGCTGCCGCTGCCTGTGGCAGGGGCCCGCCAGCGCGGAAGGTCCCCGAGATCCCCGAGGGCCACGAACTCATGCAGACGCTGCGGATGCTGGAGGCGCGTCGGCGGGTCACCCGCGACCTCGTCCAGCGCGCGATCTACAGCAAGGACAGCATCAGGATTCGCAGGAAGATCTGGGCCGCGAGCAGGGCCCTGCAGCACTGTTTACACGAGGCTGGCAATCCTCGAGTTCGAGCACCGCGCCGAGCTCAGACTGGGCCGTCCCGCAACCAGCTGATGAACGCGGAAGGGGGAGATCGAGGACGACCCGCTGCGGATCAAGGAGCTTGTGGAGCGCGAGTACGGCAACACCTTTAGGGCAAAGGAGCCTGCCGGGGTGTCTGCCTACCTCACCCACTTCACGACGGAGGATGTGCTCGACATCCCGCCATTCTCGTCCGAGATGCTCCGCGAGGCTCTGTGCGACGTGAAGGCCGTGCAGGCGCCTGGCTTGGGCGGGGTGGTCGCCGAGGTCCTGCAGGCCCTCGCCTCGGGTTTCCTCGCCTCGCTCGCGCCGTCTTCGAGAGCCGCTTCCGCGGGGTGCCGGAGTGTGCCAGGGATCAAGCCTGGTCGAAACACATCATCCAGCTCATGAAGAAGAAGGGGGACAAACGCGCGCTCAAGGGATGCAGACCGATTGCGCTCCTGACCACCTAAGAGAAGCTCTACTCTGTTGGCTTGATCAAGACATGTGGCATCAAGCTGACCCTGCGGAGCCCACAGTGCGCCTATCGGCAGCACCACCAGGCGATGGGCGTGATCTTCAGCATGCGCACGCTGTTGGAGAAGGCCCCCGAATGTAACCGACCCATCTTCA